GATGAGCTTGTTGCGAAAAAAAGAGAACACCATGTCTTTTGTTCTCATGTGCTAAACACAATGCCTTTAAACGTCACAGTAACCAACCATGAGGTCATTTACAGTACATCACCATCATCATCATCACCACCATCACCGCCACCACCACCAGCATCATCATCATCATCATCATCATCATCATCATCATCCTCATCCCAAATAGAGGTACCAGTATATCCAATTTCATAAACCTCTATTGGGGATGGCTTTTTATTGGGTTTACGCACTGGTTCAAGTTTCTTCTTACGGTATTCCATTGTAATTCCAGTCCATTATATCTTCATATTTCCATTTATTACATTATATCCCCAAAGGGAATTTCCAGATACATTAAATATATATATATATATATACATATGTGGGTGCTGCTTAAAATCGTTGATCCACAAAACATCACAAAACCATGCGTTTCGATACTAAAATGATCTAGTTTGGGATGATTAGGGGTACCCACATCACTTAGGAAACCTATGGAAACCTCCATATATCTGGGTAAATAGTTCGGCCATTTTGGGATGATTCCCCTTATTAACCATGATTCCAGGCTTCGGGAGAACAGTGGGATTGTTATAATTTACCCAGATGTATCAATTCCATCCGGCCGCACCTGCCCAAAGCGTGGCGCCGAGGCTGGCCGCGGCCTCTTCTCCGCGCTCTGCGCTAAGCGAGCCTGGCCGGAGGAGGGTCGGAGGCCATGGCCGGCTTCACTGTTCACGTAGTTTGGCCTGGATGATGGGGGGCATTTGCCATGAAAGATGGAAGTGTACTTGGATAAAATGGAATATACTAGGGTAATGGTTTGTATAATAGGGATAGTCCAGATATGGAATTCAACCATTAACGACTTCGGATTGAATCATACTAAAATACTAAATGGCTGGTTTCATGAGCAAACATATGGATTTCACCAGCCAAAATGATGGATACAACCAACATTGAGATAATTGGGATACAAAATCAACCATCCGGTGGATTTGCCCTGAAAAAAAAAATGAGCTTTGCTAGGAAGGATAAGGATATAAAATCGGTAAATATGGTTTAATAGGGATACTCCAAATTCGGGACTGAACGACTGTATTGGGATTAGCCACCGGAAATTGATAGCAATGGCGGATTTACTGTAAGCAATGCCGGATGGATTGAACGGATCTTAATGATTTGAAGGAACTACAGTTGAAAGTATGGACAAACTACCCCCAATTTTTGAGCTTTCTGGCAAAAGTTCAATTCAACCAGTTCTCACATTGTTGGTTTACTGGTTTACTGCTTTACTTCAAGTTGTGTTTTTTCAACGTTTTTGATGATATTCAGACTTTATCACATGTTACTCTAAGAAAATGATGAACGATAAATACGTGTAGCCAATGCCAGCAAATCCTTTGGATTTTAACTTTTTTTATCCAGGATCGGCCCGGCGGATCACATCTGACGGTGTTTGGACTTGGAGCGTACAGGATTGCAACACAAAAGAGGTCCCAATGCTTCATGGGCACTGCTTTTATTGACCATTCCTAATGCCAATCTGTCAAATGAACTTGGTTACTCAGAATCCTTCGAACAGACTTACATGTTGTTATTTAGCAAAGAGATGTCAATCCACAAAAACAAACAATGCTTTTCAAACAACCACCATCACCCATCATGTGGCTTTGTTTTCAACTAAAAAATGCCTCAGAAATCCTCAGAAATTTCCAGAATTGTGGCAGCCATCCCCAATTCTGAAACTGCCATCCGATAAAAAGGGGGCACATCCGATCACATCCCATGAAAAATATCCCCATGATAGGTTTATAAACCATGATGATTCCATTAAAAAGACCTCATCATATCCTCATCATAGTCCAGTCTTACCCATAAAATGTCACAGTAAATCAGTAAATCCATGTACTGTAAATCCTATAATTTCCCAGTAAATACCTACATATCCCACTATAAGAAACTACATCCCACACCATATTCCCATCTTTAATCTTTGGTTGGTTTCATACAACCCCACCCATCTGCCACGGCTGAGATCTGCTTTTTGTCGGCAGATCATTGCTGCATCCGCAACTTCTGCCTGGCGATGAGCAGTTCCACGTACTCAGTGGAGATTTCGAGCGGGGAAAAAGACAAACTCTCCATGAAAACATGATACAAGGTGCTGCTTCCTGGGAAGATAAGTTGGTTCATAACTTCAATAAACATGGCTTATAGGAATATGATGGTGGTTCTAAACCAACTCACAATGAAAATTCATGAATCGTATAATCTGAAAATAGTTGAAAATTGTTGCAATGTTGGAATGATTCAGCGTTTATAAATAACGGTTCCAGCAAAGTCACGATGTGATGTCCACTATTATCTATCCACATATGTCTATGACAATGAAAAGAGTCTAGGACCAGGACTATACATACATAAATAAATATACAGTTACATGAATAATTGTGTATGTGTATGTGTATGCTCATGAATATGTGTGTATGTATGTGTCTATGTAAGTGTGTGTATGTAAGTGCGTGTATGTCTTGTGTATGTATGTGTGTGTATGTGTGTATGTGTGTTTATGTATGTGTATGTATGTATGTATGTTTGTGTGTATGTATGTCTGTATGTATGGTCTAGTCACTTGAGCCCTTTAGGTTACCGCATGTTAATCAAACAAATCACTCTTTGACTCTTTGGATGTGCCTGCAAGTCAAATGGTTGGTTTTGAAAACTTCTAGGAATCAAAACCCGTTTTCTGACAGTTAGCACAACAGCACTGTGTAACAAAATCACGTCAAGGCAGAAATCCCGATTGGTTTTGCGCATGTTTTGCGGTCCAGTTTGTTCCCCAAAAATGCATGCTATAACCCCCTCAACATGTTGACATCTAGTTTGCAAAATGGTTCGTTGATACCTGTTGATAGCTTTAAGGAGCATGGTGTACTAGGTTTGCCTCACATGATCCCGTTTGCCAAAAGTTTTGCATCTAGTTGGGCCATTGCATCATGCCAAGTATCTGGCACCGAGACCCCTTGGCGTAAAAATGGGTTTTGGATCGTTTTGTTCTTTTGGGTCCTTTTGCTCAGACAAAGTCGTTTTGAGCAAAAGATTGTCACTGACCAGGGTCAACAATTGTGGTTTTCGGATGGTCCAGGATGGTCCAGGTTTCTGCATCACCGCAGGGAGGTGCAGAAAACCAAAAAGGGATCGAAACGTCATCGATTTACATCACGAAAAAGTAGGGTTTACATCACGATTTACATCATTTACCAAAGAGGTGCTTGGGACGTTTTTTTTTACATTATGAAAAGTAGGGTACGATGACGCAAGATCGATTTACGTATCGAACAGGCAGTGGGATACTAATTTACATCGCGTTGGAGGTTCCAGGTTCCTGGCTATGTCCAGAGCGCCTTGACTCATTATTCTGACATAGTTTCTGATATTATGATATACCATCTGGAAGTATATAATCACATTGCAGTAATCATTACATTACATTAGATTAGATTAGATTACATTACATACATGTATAACATTACATACATGTATATTACATTACACAATACATTACATTACATTACATTACATTACATACATACATACATTACATACATTACATACATTACATACATTACATACATTACATACATTACATACATTGCATACATTACATACATTACATACATTACATACATTACATACATTACATACATTACATACATTACATACATTACATACATTACATACATTACATACATTACATACATTACATACATTACATACATTACATACATTACATACATTACATTCATTACATACATTACATACATTACATGCATTACATACATTACATACATTACATTACATACATACATACATACATACATACATACATACATACATACATACATACATACATACATACATACATACATACATACATACATACATACATACATACATACATACATACATACATACATACATACATACATACATACATACATACTACATACATACATACATACATACATACATACATACATACATACATACATACATACATACATTACATACATTACATACATACATACATACATACATACATACATACCTACATACCTACATACATACATACCTACATACCTACATACCTACATACCTACATACCTACATACCTACATACCTACATACCTACATACCTACATATCTACATATCTACATACCTACATACCTACATACCTACATACCTACATACCTACATACCTACATACATACATACATACATACATACATACATACATACATTACATACATTACATACATTACATACATACATTACATACAATTACATACAATTACATAACATTCATACAATTACATAACGATACATAACATTACATAACATAACATTACATAACATAACATAACGTTACATAACATTACATAACATTACATTACAATATATAACATTACATAACATAACATTACATTACATTAATACATACATAACATTACATAACATACCGTTACATTACATTACATTACATTACATACATAACATAACATAATATAACATAACATAACAAAATATAACATAACACAACACAACATAACACTACATAACATACTATACCATACCATACCATACCATAACATACATATATTTTTTGTATGTATATATATATAATAATAATTACTATGTATATATAATTATATATATACGTATATATATATATGAAATTCTATCTGACATTATTGAGGGCATTCTATCTGGCATCTATTCCGGCACTGCCGGAGCCACTGAGATCTGGAGCTCGCGGTTGAGATCCGAGCCAACTCTGATAAAATCTAGAGACCCTAACCTGGCAGGTGGGGAAACAACTTATTACCAGCAGTCCGCCAACGGTGGATTAATCAATAGGAAAATGATCATATGATCTTGAGCAAATTGAGGCATGCATGTAAATCATTGTGATTGATCCCGGCCTCAAAGTTCCGGCCGATGGTGGTGCATCACACGCTGAGTTCTTGCCGCCCTGCAGACTAATAGTACTTGCAGGTTGGTGTCTCAGTTTGTTGGCTAAGGAGGTTGATTATCAACGTGACTGGTAGGGTTTATGGTGGATATAGAGAACTATAGAAGACAGGGTTCATACGCAACAAACATAAATGGTGGGGCGCACAACCTTGTGGATGACACTGAAAACGAGATTGATGGTTGGATAGTGATAGATGCACAATTTGTAATCAGTTGGTTGGCTGGTTGGTTGTTCTCAACAACAATCCAATGGTATAGGGCACCATTTGTAGAATTGTGCATTATTAATGAGAACCTTGGACAGACCATGACAAACCAGCATTTGTAGATCATATTCCCTGGGGAAACCCACACAGGTTCTCAAGTTTTTGCTTTGTTAGTTGTCCCCAGGGTATCCCCTATATTGGGCCTTCAATGTCTTGGTTGATATAAATATATAATTATAAATATATATATATATATATACAATACAATACAATACAATGTAATATAATATGATATGATATTTGATATATATATATATAATATGATATACTATAATATGATGTAACATACAATAATATGATACAATATGATATAACATGATATAACATGATATAATATAAAATAATATGACATAATAAAATAGAATAGAATAGAATATAAGATAAGATAATATATGGGTAAATATATGTAAATATAATATACAATCCAGATATCTGGCTTGCTGCCCCATCTATCTATAGCTATATCTACGGTGAACCCTGGTAAATCTAGTTCTGAACCAACTTTGCAATCTTGGGGGCCCCCACATTGCAACTGTTCCAAACCCATTTTGGGTAGTGATATCCCAGCTTTGCCTACATAAAATCCCAATGTTTCCCAACTATAAAGAGTTATATCAAGCCCATTTCTTTCAAGTTAAACCCCCTTTTCTAAAGCCACATCCACCACATTTGTTTAATATTATCTATGAATCTTCCAAAAAATACTTAATTACGGTTATATTCCTGAAAATCACCATAAAATTACTGAAAACCAACAAGATTCACCTATGAATCCCATTTGTTTGGTATATTATTGTTGGCTTATCACGAGTCTTAGTGTTTGAATTTAAATAGTCAAAAAATGACTTAAACAAACATTCACCATAGGTGTACCACCTGAAGGTCGCATAGGTGGAGCCGACGATATGCTAGTTCCACCAGCTCTGGAAACACCACAACCTTCAAACCATGACGGCACTGCATCAAAGGGAATGTTGTCGAAGATGCCAAGGCTACCCTTTGGCCCGTTGGGCTGCGCCCGATGGCAATGCGTCGTAGTAGGCCCCGGTCTGTGGGCCCCATCTTGCACTTTTTGTAAGTAATCCACTCCTAGTTGACCCACTTCTAGATCCCTACAGTATGGCGTCCATAAATAAACAATTTTTAGATAATGATGAAAAATGATCAAACTCAGTATAATAGTATCCAAAATTTGGATCCTTAATCATGAACTATAATAATTCACTCACCTGAATATTGTTGTTTTCATATCAAGCCATTTGGAGACAGTTCACCTTTGCGAACCATCATTCCAGTGACGTCACGACGTGAAGTCATGATGAAATTCATATACCCTCTGGTAAATTAACATAACTATGGAAAATCACAATTTTCAATGGGTAAATCCAATATAAATGACCATTTTCAATAGCTACATGAAATTACCAGAGAGTAATCAGGCAAAAGTGCATTCAGCTGAAAATCTGCAATGCGGAGATATAGTGTATTTTTACCTGTATCCATCTTTATCCAAAAAATATCATATCATGCAATTTTGCAGCAGGCGATCATATGATAATATTATCGGGGATAAATGGTATAAGACATGATAAATGTCATTAAGCACGTGATGCTTTTGTTCAATATAATTACCAAGTGTATAATTATCACTATAATTATCAACCCCCTCTTGCCTCATATAATCAATTCTAATGTTTGGGTAAATCATAACTGGTTGGTGGTATACCTACCCCTCTGAAAAATGATGTACTTCGTCAGTTGGGACGATTATTCCATTCCCAATATGTGGAAGTCATAAAATTCCATGGTTCCAAACCACCAAGCAGCATTATATTTCCAAAAAATGGAATATGACTTACAATAATATTCTATATGGATATTCTACAATAATATGACAATACTATGGTTTATAAACCAACATTCACATCACTATCATCACTAGATACAGGCAAAGTCTTGGGGATGCCATGATTTCCCCGAATCCTTAAAAAAAATCGATGCCCGGGAGAACACTGAGCTTGTGATTTTTGTTTATTTTGTGTGGCGAAAAAACGATGCTTTATGGTAGATATAACATCATATATACAGTATATAACATTATAACTATAGTTAATGGCAATTAATATTAATGGCAATATTATTAATTATACGTAGTTATAATGTTATATAACACCATTATTATTATTACCATTTGGTTTATAACATTATTAATGACAGTTAATATTAAAATATGGGTTTATAAACCAACTTATAATGGGCTTTACAAAGCCATCCTGTAGATCATCCCAGAGAAAAACACGACACGCCTGCAGAAGCGCGAGGCCTGGCAGCCACGCTGCACCGCGCGCAAGAGCAACTCCTGGACCTCAACAGGAAATGCACACAGATGCCATGGATGTGGATGGGAAATAGCCAGGATATCTAGCTGGAGAATAGCCAGGAGATCAGTTGGGATATGGATTTTTCTGTGATGTTTGGGGATTTCATCGAGTGAATCAATGTGAATCAAGAAAAAACAAATTGGTGATTTTACAAACAACAAAGGGGTTCAAGCTATTGAAGGGGAGATTGAATCAGCAAAAGATCAATCTTTAACAAACAACGAGGTGTGGACTTTCTATGATCTTCTCAATGAATTGTGCGTGATTTGCCCTACTTGGATTATCCCGGCAATCGTATTTACTTAACCATTGATATAAACCATATAAAGCTGGTGACTTCCAGTTTTCATATACAACTGATCTATTTCAGACGATTTTAGCAACTTAGATAACTTTTAGTAGTTCGAATGCGCATCCAAGCAGTTAAATGGTTACATTGTGTCTTATAGTTTAATCATGTCTTATCTGCCATGGTTGCGAGCGATCTTCGCAAATCTCGGATCAATCTTCCGGAAATGATCTTCATGACCATTTCTTTTAAAAGGCGGCCTAAAGGACGTATGTTGTATCACCCTGAACCCCAAAAATTACGTACAAATTCGTGTAGGTTTACAACTCAGCTACACATGGATCCTAATTCTAGGAATGCAAGCGAAAGGACTGTGTTCGAAGTAGTTGATTAGTGAGATGAGCATCTGGACGTAATTATTAGGCGCTACGTTCAGCCCAGAGATTGGCCCGGGATGCGCCAGTGGTATGTTATCAACTTTGGCGGGTCCTTCACTCAGTTGTTGATGGGTTAGACACCAATCCATCAGTCAAATTTGTGGAGCAAAAAGTTCAATGACATAACAGCTATGACACATCACCATTCTTCAGTTTGGTGCATAATCTATAATGGGCCATTTTCCATAGATTTCTTTCATATTCTTTAATCAGCAAATGGTAATTCCATATTAGATTCTGGACCCATGATAGATGGCTATATATCCCATATGATCCACTGTTGTAATATACTTTGAATTTCTTTATCCGCTATATTCACCACTATATTCACCACCATTTTTCACCACTACTAACCACCACTATTTTCACCACTATTAATCACGATGTGTTCCATCGCTACGCCTCCGAATTTCACAGATCCATCGCTACCACCGCGTCGGAATCGACAAATCTACGCCTCGTCGTCGTGCTCGTGAGGCAAGTCTTGTGCCAAGCGTTCGAACTCACGCTCCATGGCACCTCGTTTCGAGGTCGCGCGTGAGTGAAACGATGGCGCCTGGTTGGGGATGTTTGATGGGAGTGAAACGAAAGCCTGAAAATTTGGGGATGTTTGATGATGTGTGTACTTATACTATTTCCATCTATTTCCCATAGTAGGGAAAGCCATCAACCAACTATCAACCAACTATAGTATGATGAGATGTGATAGCCCAATTGAATCCTATTGACCTATTGGGTACTCATCCCGAACCAGCTCCAAACACCGTTGCTCCGTGACCGGTGAGGCCAGGCCTTGATCAAAACCTGGAAAGATCTCTGTGAATTCTGTGGTATGACAACCATGGGGCAACCATGATAAATCCTGAACTCTGTGCTAAATAATCATGATAAACTATTGACCATCAGACATATGCAAGTGTGAATTGAGTACGGTAGATTTTTGGAAAGCATCCACACTTAATCTCGAAAGGTGTATAGCTCGTAAGTTTAAGAAAAAAAACATGATTCAGGTGTTGTGAGCTCTTGCCTACATTATTGCAATATGGTCCACTTCAGATTTCTGACTGTTCTCAGAATTCCACCAAATGTTCAGTGCTGGCCGTATCACCATGGTCTCCCTTATTCACGTGCTATCACGGTAAGTATCTAACCAGCTTGAAATCACCATGTGTTGTTCTATTCCTTACTGGTGCTAAACGTAGGGAATGGATGGGTTGCTGGGGGAATGGGATGATTATTACTAGTGATTATGGATCATTCCCTCATTCGCTGCTAAGCACCAGTAAGATTCTGTTTAATGGTCAATCACCGTTAAATCACCATTTTATTTTATCCATTCTTTTTAGATGATCATTTGGATGACCAATATCCCTTCCCATGCCCTGAGTGACCGAATCGACCAGGTGATGACACTAAGGGAAACCATGGGTCTTACCCTGATGGGTAACCAACAAACTTTGGGATTCATAGTATATAATTTAATGTAATTTATAAGTTTAGGATGACTATAGTGACTGTCCTGACAATGTTGGTGCAAATGACTAACATAACCGGCTGTAACCTTCCAGTTACCTCTTAGATAGGTCATGTTTGGGTGATTTTACTTTGTTTTGGGGTGATTTTACGACCTATCCGACAGGTCTGTCCTGAAGATGATGGATTAAACAAAGGGCTTTCTTTGCTCAGCATGAGACCACAGGGACGTGTCGGCTGTGTGGATGTTGTCACAGGTCTGCATCTGTCACCACCGATCTACCCTTGTCACCCTTGTCGCTCGAGTCAAAGTTGTCTGGCTTCGCATCCCGAACTACTATTTCCAACAAGAACACATGCCAGGTAGCCAGGTTTTTTGTGCTCTTCTCAAAGTGCGATGGTTGAAGTCCAAATCGATTAGGGTCCAAACCCAGACATTGTAGCGTCACTTCCTGCAGCCAGTCCTCAACTTGGATGGTAATACTTGGATGATGCCACCCCGTGATAGCTATTGATATTATAGTTGCGGGTGAAAACAACCAGTCATTGTAAGCATCAATCACAACTTTCCGTCCAATCTCCAAGATCTGCAATTTTTGGGTGTGAAAATGGAGTACCCAAAACGATTGATGGAGTAAATCATCGCTTTCCCATCTTTTTCCCTATTAGATTCTAGCAAGATCGCCATACGATGGACGCCTCAAGGGTGTTCATCCCCGCACTTCTGGTGATATCACCATCAAATCCCATACTCAACACCATCTTCATCCATGTTCCCTATACGAAAACAAAAAACAAACATCTTATGGGTGTCCTCCCGTTGACCCCACAAAAAACAGAAGAGGCCTATCACTGCCGAGCTGCGGTGCACATCTTCCGCGTCGCTGCGAAAGACCTCGCTGCCTCAGTTTTGCATGATTTAACCCAGCGTACAAACAACTGAGGTGTGTTTAACCCAACGTAAATGTCAGGCATCGTTTCAGGCGCGGAAATGGTCAAGCACTTTCCTTTAAACAAACATATATAGAAATATGTTGAAGTACAACGCCAAAAAATACATAGATGGAACAAATTGAAACCTGGAAAGTATGGGGGAATGCATCCTCCAACTACCATCCTGCTGCCTTTTTGGGAGTTACTATACCCATAATTCACTTCAGCGTGTAAATTCAAAAAACATAAGTTGGGCATATTTACAGCGGGTTATAAAGTTATACATGGTTATACTACCAAACTTAGGATGTTTATTGGGGATAATCATTGCAATTTCAGACAGAAAAGGTGATGGTGAACTGGTTTGCCTGAAGTCTATGGGACAACCTCTAAATGCACCTTGGCAGTCAGCAACATTTTACCAACTGGAGGTGTCAATCCTCCACGGGAAAAAGAAAGAAGCGCCACTACACGAATTACCCTCTGGTAATTTAACATAGCTATTGAAAATGGCCATTTATAGTGGATTTTCCCATTAAAAATGGTGATTTTCCATAGTTATGTTAAATTACCAGAGGGTACTATTCCAGTTGAGGTTGCGACCGAAAAATGCAGGGCCAACTATCCAAAACAAGGGTCCGATCAAGGTCCGGTGATTGATTTTTTGCTTCATGACCTTCCATATGGTGGTAAAGCCTTAGCAAAAAGTTCTACAACTTGAGTCACTCTGAGTCACTTGAGATTAGAATTTGCTCTGGGACTGAAATGAATGTCATATGTGGAAAAACAAAACACACACATGCCTCTCTGGCGATGGTTTGCGATTCCAGTTCTACATACAAGGAGGAGAATTAGGTCCAAACTTCACATCTCAACGTTGTAGTGAAAAAATGGAACCCGGTTCTGGGATGGAACCTGATTATCAAGACACGTCACAAAACCGGAGGTGGATAAACTCACAAAAGATCGGATTTCTCTAACCAACAATTGAAGATGTTCGCTGCAAACCCTAGGCTTGCCCGCGGCGAATCCCGCATATCCTTTGACATGCTAATCCCTGCGTAGGGTTTAAGTTTTTTACAGTACTTTCCAAAACAACAAACCCTAAAACCCTAAGACTTAAAACCCTAAACCCTAAATTAAAACCCTAAATCCAGAAAACTGAAAGTCAAAATCACTGCGTATAGCCAGTGTTTTCAATTATTTTGTGGTGATAAGGATATCATACTGTTTGGATGTGTTGTTTGAGTGTGGGCGAACCCGGGGTTTGGAAAGAACATGTTCAATCATGTCCAATGCCTGTTCGTTTCATTCGAAACATGTACAAATTTAAATATAAAATAAATGTATATCAGTAAATCTATATCTAACTTGTCCAACATTACCTAATTTCAACAAATACAATAGCTTCTCGAGGCAAGCCGGTTGTAACCATTTTTTTCCTCCCTGCGAAAGCGACCCAAACATGTCAATCAGCAATGAAAGTGATAGCATGTTTCAACGACATGGTTCATTCAACCACACTAATCCCATCTAATCCCTTTCTTTTTGTATTCGGTCTCAGCCTAGAATTCCTGGTTTTGTGGGCAGTTTGCATATACTTATTGAATCTTATTGGTATTTATTGAATATAAAGTATTGGATCTATTGATTTCGGGGTTCCTAAATTTGTACGCGTATTTCATATGATCAGGGGGATCAGCCAAGTGACAAGCATGTTGCAACGCAAAGGACTTCCAATGGAACGCCAATTCGCTCCTCGGCCGGGCGAATTAAAAGTATTGCTTTGACGCCAATCTAGAGAAATTTGTCCCAAAATGCATTCCAGATGGTTCTGGAAGCACTCAAATGATCTTTGATTGCATTTGTTTTGCAAAATAATTAATGGTAGTTCCATTCAACACAAATCTATATCAATGTTGAGTCGACAGGCCAGGGTAATGCGCGACAAACCGTCTGAAACCGTTTTGGAAATGGTGAATTGCTGTAAGGACTGTCCTAGTCCATCATAACAATCACAAGATGTGAACCGTGGTGCCGATATATTTACCATGATTTACCTGAGCAACTGAATGATGTCAGGGGATGTTAGGGGTATATATTAGATATATAAATATATATATATATATACTGTCTGTGTATATATATATATATGATCTGTATATATTGCATTACATACATGGTGCATCATTTGATCCACGTGCTACAAAGGTGATCAGAGGCGCGGTTGACACAATCATTATCCATGTGCTGTGATGAAACATCGAGACTATCTGGAACCGCCACTCAGTGACTCAGTGATGAAAAGGAGGACCTACTGCCCCTTTAAATGGTAACTGGATGAGTTTTACACAGAACGAGGATTTTTTCGCAAAATTGGCTTACCAGCCAGCACCCTTTCCCATCCCCTACCATTCTGCACCTATCACCGCTTGATCAGCATCAGGATGATGAAGGCCCATCAGATACTTGGTATTGAAGGTCATCACCCACCGATCAGGCTGAGAAATTTCAGGTCCTCTAACAGGTTTGCTTCAAACAGTTTCAAACACCCTACCAGGCCCTACCTGCAGCCAGGGAAACCCATTTCTGAAGCCAGGTCGCTTGTTGATTTCTTCATAAAAGGGTTCCGTCTTGGCAGTCCTGGCACGTTTTCTTCAGCCGGAAGCCGCACAAAAACATGTTCCACGCAAATAAACCTTTCACATGTGTCCTATCTGATCTATCTGATCTGTCTGGTTGGTTTTCAAAGCCCTGAGAGTTTTGTGACTGTTGGGGTTCATCATCCCAGGTGGGATCTGAGAATTGGAGCCACTTGCTGCCTGTCATTCCCAGAGCTCCTGATAACAAAAATGGCGGCTTCAACGGCTTCAATCCTAATTTTACGATTTCAGCTACAATGTGGTGCCCAAATAATTAGCTAAGTTGGTGTGTAGCTTATTCTATATATATATATACATATATAGACTATCTATAGTTGACAATGGCTTGCAAGCCGATAAGCCAGCAAACATAACTAGGGGGCACCCCATTGTAATATTGCCATAGATTACTTTCAGTCAAACTATGGTTCTAACATGGTTGAACTCTCCCGTTATAATCTCAGTATCCCCTGATTCTCCCACTATATTTCCAGCTACTAAGGTAGATATATGTGGATAGAACTATGGAGTTCCTAGATGTTACTATATAAGTTATATATCCACCATAAAACCATTTAGAAACATTTAAAGTTACTAAGTTGGCTTATTGGTCGTTCTATATCCCACTAACTTCACCAGTCCTGAAGACCAGTTGATGCATGGAACAGATCCACTTGCAACTGAATTGGAATCACGATGTTCATTTATTTTCACCTCATAATCAGTGAAGTTTTCCCGGATTATATCAATCCAGCAAGTATTACTTCACCAGTAAGAATTTTAGTGATGTATTACACAATTCACTAGTTACTTAACTTTCACAATGAACTAATAATAATTAACTAGTAATGATTGGTGAAATTACACAAATCACTTGTTACTAATCTTAACTTTCATAATTAGCTAATCCGGTTGGTGGTTTCAACCCCTCTGAAAAATATGAGTTCGTCAGTTGCGATGATGAAATTACCAACTGAATGGAAAGTCATAAAAATCAGGTTCCAAACCACCAACCAGTAACAATCACTAGTTACTAATTGCTTAACTAAGAATAGTAATCTTAACTAATCACTAGTTACCAATCTGAACTTTCATAATTAGCTCATCTGTTTATAGTGGTAACCTACCCCTCTGAAAAATATTCGTCCAAACCACCAACCAGTTTTTTAGAATTGAGCAGTGTTCAAAACCCATTTTTCAGGGGATTATACTACCCAATTTATATCAATCTATTGGGGATTCAAATCATCCAATAGGGCAATCCCTAAATCATTCCATGGAGGTGATGTATTTCAATTTCTTTCCATAGGAGGGATTGGATCCAATTTATTTCACAATGGAGTGATTTTTATCATCCAATGGGAGGGATTAACCAACCAGGATTTTTCATGGAATGATACAACCAACTAACCTACCAACCACCAACCAACCTCCATTTAAAGTTACTAAGTTGGCTTATTGGTCGTTCTATATCCCGCTCAATTGTAAACCAAGCAATTTTTACCTGGTCCAACCTACCACAGGTAAACCATCCAATAGGGGATGCAAATTTCACACTGCTCAATATCGAAAAAAGTCCCATGGCCTGATCTCTGCAGTACCATCAGGTAAGCCGGTCACCTACGGAAGATCTTCCAGCAAAAATGGGGGGGAAGTTTAGCTAGAAACCATGGGAAAACATAGGGAAATGACGCTCGAAAATTGAAAAAAAAAAGATGGAGAACTGGAGAACTCATTTTTTTGCTAGAACAGTGCCAAACATGTCATGAAACCACAAGGAAAACGGGGAGTTAAGCAAAAAATGAGGCGATTAAATCACCATTCAAGACATGCACTTCAGTAAACATAAGCGGTGCAAGGAAATCAGTTTGAAGTTTGCCCTCAAACACCATTGTAGTCCAGATAATACGAATGCATTTTCCAAACAAAAATGGTCGGGTGCATTCACAAAATGAATCAAAACCCAGCAATGCATGTTTTACCACCATGAAGAATACAGAGATGAAGCGTTCATCTGTGTCTGGAGGTAATCGTTGTCATGGGTAATCTTGCTCCTTGTGGTTTCGGACTTTGGCTTCTAAAAACCCGGGCCTCTCATGGCTGGTTCGGTTTATACACCCCTTCTAAATATAATAATATATATATATACATATGCTTAAGTCCAATTGTTGGCAAATGTTAGCCTAGTTGTGTTTACCAACTGAAGTATATATCAGCTACTTGTCACCAAGTTATTGTACATGGTTAATTTTAGATACCTATCCAAAAAATAAAATATGTTTTAGCTGGTTAATACATGTTACCATTACCATTCCAAACTTTGTTTCAGCACGAAAGTCTCTAACCAGTCGGTTGACCAGTCGGTGAATGTTAATGTTAAGTTAACTTCAGTATATTTACATATATTTACCTTAACTGAAGTATCATTCAAGTCAGCTACTTAGTATATAATTTCACCAAATTAAACAAGGAGTACATAAAGTCACTGAAAAAAAACCGCAAAACTAAACAATCCTGAAAATTTGCCCCCCCCCAAAAAAAAACGTGAAAAATCCCAAAACATCCCTGAACAACAACTTGAAAAACAAAAAACACGTGAACATTTCCCAGGTTCCGCCTCCAGCTTCTGGCGCTTGAAGAGCTGCGCGAGCCGCTTCATCGCCTTGGAGGAGTCCCTCGAGACCCCGATGCTATGAATGGTTGATTTTTCTATACAAAAACCATGGGAAAAAACCATAGGAAAACCATAGAAACATGGTGATTTAACCACCAAAACATGTAATTCAAAGGGATTCATAGCTGATGTATGGCTGATGTATGATAGTTAAGTTGGTTTATAATTCCAATAACTTGATTGATTATACTTATAAACGCATAACTTTAGCTATTCGGAGTTTATAAGCCAACTTATAACTGGCGGGGGGGCACATTGTAGCAATGCCCATGGATGTAATGGGTTATATAAATAATGGATGTAGATTCTATAGAGCTAGATACTTTTTAAGAAGGTACTTAGCCCCTAAATCATGCCCTGATTGCTGCCTGAGAAAGTGCTTCAATCCATAGGGACTGGATTTAAGATAAACCTATAGATTTAACGGCTTAGCATTGATGGTTAAACATTATCTATCCCTTTGAATATTGATTTGGTGGTAAATAAATGTGAATCCTTAAATGCTGGATTGAAATGGATTTAACATTCACCAGTAAACATGTGGTATAAGATAATATGTCCCATGAACACCCCTCGGGTCACTTTATAGACAAATATTGATTCAACGTTGGAGTCCACTTGGGAATAATCATAATCTCACTCACCAGGGCTTTATAAATGTTCATTGGTGAATCAGAAAGTATGTTTGTTTTCTCAATTCTGCAGGTTTTCTATGGAGTTCTAAAGCTGGGGCCCGAATAGGTACCAATTTAATGAATCCCTAGGGTTAAAGTTAGGAATTCGGGGGGCATAGCCTTCCATGACACTTAGGTTCAGTGGGAGGACACATGGTAATGAGAATTCTGTGGATGTTCTTGTTTATTTGAAGCTGTTTTTTTGTGCCACAAAGGAAGTGATCATTTAGAAACCTTGGCATCCAAAATGGAAATGCTGTTCTACAAGATACAGCGAAAAGAGCAGTAGAGCAGTAGATTGTCGGCTTGCCTCCTGAAAAGAAACAAAACACAACTTCCTGACCAAATCATATCTGTGAAAAGCTGTCCATAATGTTCCATAGCTCACTCCGAAGTATGGCTCAACATTGAAAAGCCGCAATCCAGTGAATGACAATCCTTCGAGGTGTGCTTTCACTCACAGTAGTGGGAATGTTTCCATATGTTTTCATATTTTACAAGCATTTTAACTCATGCTGGTAAACCTTTGTTATGAACCATTGTGATATGCAGCAACCACTTATTTCTTTATGATATTATATATTCCTGTGTTTCATTTTTTATACAGTTAAAACAGTTATACCCCTTTCATTCACGTTTTATTAACGCCCGAACCCCGAAGCGACAGAACGGACACCAACAGAGTCCCAGATGCGCAACTGCCTTTGGCATCGTGCCGCTCATGAAGCTCCTTGCATCCCAGTGTTTCTCTGTGGCAGGAGAATGAGTTGGGGTAGGATTCTAACACGCACAAACACACATATATATATATATATGTATGTATATGTATATATATATATATATGCGTGTATATATGTATATATATATGTATACGATATGTATATATATATATATGTCTATAATACATATATATATATATAATATTTACAAATAAGATCAAATTAATACATATTATATAATGAGATCATATGAGATATGAGATATGATATAGGATATAAGCAGAGGGGATATAAACAATTACATGTAGGTTATCATGAGTTCATGGCCGGGATATGCCGGGATGAGATGCACTTCCAAATAGGCAACAATCAGACCATGGAGGTCTTGCTGATTCTACCGGGAAAAACACGTCGATCGAACCAACCAACAATTGGGATTCCAGCAACAAGAATGGTCGTAAGAACTGCAGTTAAAACCCTTTATCAGTTATCAATGGCTATAAATGGGCTTGTCTGGGGTTATAGCTGAGTTATTAACTGGTAGAGGACTTTAACTGTGGTTCCAATGCACGTTTAGAGTGGCCAATTTGCACATTCTTTCCATGTCCCGATTCCCCAGCTCATGGACTCATCCACTTGGCTAAACCCCAAGAAAAATGGCCGTACTAAAGCCTTCAACACATGACTGGTTGGTGGTATACCTACCCATCTGAAAAATATGAAAGTCAGTTGGGATGATGAAATTCCCAATATATGGAAAGTCATAAAATTAATGTTCCAAACCACCAACCAGATGAAAACTCTGTATCAAAGCAGCACAATGATCTACGTTCCATGGGCACCACATTGCGCAGGGTCAACACTTCACCAACTTCACCGTCCTCGGAGGAGAAGGTTTTCCTGCCAAGGTTTAGACATCCCCGATATTATTTCACATGTGCAATGTGCTTGATGAGTTCATGAAGTAAATGAGTTCATATCAATCATTATCATTGCTAAATGATAATGATTGATATATTATATTGATAGATCATTAGAATCAGAATCATATCACGAAACCAGTACAATCATATGGACAACTTACAAAATCTCCGAAACGGTTACCGGTTACCCTCTGGTAATGTAATATGGTATATACATGTATATACCCGCACTAATATGTGTGTTCGCCTATACCCTCTGGTAAACTAATATATGGTTAATATATGGATATGAAACCCACCGACCAAACAGGCCAAATATTTCCACCGACGTTCCAACAGAAAATGATACCTCCTCTGGGATCGATGAATCGACATGTACGTCGTATGTACTCTCCGGTAATTTAGCACTTCGCTATTGAACATGGCCCAGTCGAAATAGTTGATTTACACATGAATTTACCCGGCCTGGTAAACAAACATAGCTATTGAAAATGGCCATTTATAGTGGATTTACCCATGAAAAATGGTGATGTTCCATAGTTTTTTGTATCCATTGGAAAAACACGAGCACTGAGCACTACCCATCCGAGGTATTCGAGGTTGTTGGAGAAAAGACAGCCTGGAAATCCTGCGTGAACATCGTCAAGATTCAACTTTCTAGAATGATCTAAATCTAAACCAACAAAAACACATATACTGTATACGTATATGTATCCGTATATATGTATATAGCACAGTGTTAAAACTCGGCCCTCTGGTAATCTCTGGTAAACTAACATATAGATGTGGCTTCTCCCACTATTTCTAGATCATTTTCTTGGGCTTTTCCCCAGGGCTAAACAGCCCCACAGGTAGCGCCTGATGCTGTCCAGCGCGTGAGGTTTGGGGAAGTTGGATTGCACCACCTGCTCGCACACAGTACCTGGGAAATCCATCGAACTCCAGGTGGATGGACCAGGTTGGATCACCACTGGAAGTGAGCTGGGA